AGATGTGGTGGAATCGGCGACTGCAACCTGAAGACCGTAACGCCGCAATTCCCAAACAGGCTAGACAAGGGATGGCATCAGTGAAAGTTCCTGAGCTGCTCAGTATGATTTCTTTTTCCACGCCAGGATACACGTCGGCTTGAAGCGTTGACTTGACGAAGCTGTCAATCTATGGTCCCACGACACGTCAAGAATAAGCAAAAGCAGTGCAGCGTGTCGTTTGCGGATGGGAAACAGTGGAGCTCCGGACACCCCGATCCCTTAAGTCAAGTGTATAGAACCTTGGGCCTTGCAAGCACTTGCGCCAGCCGTCGAAACTCTGACCCCCAGCTGAGAGCCATACCCACCCAGTCTCTGCATCTCCTCTGCTGAGATCAGATCGCAGCTACACGCTGCACATTTAAGGGACTGCAAATAGGGATTTTCACGTGCTTGTAAATGGACGGCCATGGCCGGAAGGGATGCCGAATCAGCACAACTCGGAACATGGTCTTGTCGGCTGACCCCTACAACCTTGAACGTTTTATAAAACATAAACATCACAAGCCCTTCTCAGCCGTGCCTGCAGGTAGCACTCCACGAGTAGGGCCATGGCAGTGGCCACCTCCCAACATGCTGGCGAGCAGCTCTCTCTCCCCTCCTCGCAACACTAAAACTGCGGGGGTGACCTCACCGCGTCCCTCCTTGGGCACGCTGCTTCGTGTCTTCTTTGGTCTGGGGGCTGCCATGAAGAGCTTGGGGGTTCCATGCGCCATCTGCTCTGTCGGTTCAAAACGCCAAAATAGCCTGATCCCCCCTCACCCCCCAAGTCTTCGTCCTATAGCAGCCCTGAAGGGGAAGCCTGTCTCAAGCAATATGCCCACATCAGCCCAAACCGGGAAGGCTTGCCTCCTTATTCGTGGCTGCCTGGCAAGCAAAGCAGGAACGACTTTTTGAAGCGTGACGCGGGGCGAGCATGTCCTACGTGGAGGAGATGAAGCTGCTACATTGCAAACTTCAAATATTCCGAATCGATGCACAACATCGTTCGTGTTCTATAGCCGGGTTCAGCAAGCTGAACCTATACATATTGTGGCAAACATTGCAACGACTACAACTTCCGCCCTTCCTCCGCTTGTGTCCCGTCAAAACGCGTGGAAAACTCCCTGTTAGGCTGGGGGGTCAATAGTGAACACCCCAACTAGAGAAGTTCTCATTTAGACGAATCGCACATCAATCCATCGACCCAGGTCCTCCCACACTTCTGTCACAGCATGTGCGAGTCCCGAGCCTCCCTCGACAGAAGTGACCACTGGGCTTCCAGGGCCCATTTCGGCTTCTGCAGGCAGCTAGCAGGAAAGTCCTCGGCTAGCGGCTACCATCCGAGGGTTCCCCAATCAGAGGGGCCCATTCAGGTGGAATGGGTATGTTCCGTTTGTCGTGTTTAGGGATTACACGGGGTTGCAAGTGATTGCAAGGAATTGCTCGTCTTGATGCCTGCAAAACATAGCTCAGCAACACGACCCTCTGTAGACAGTCGCCGCTGCACATGACGATGTCTATTATATTGACATGTATGCATGAGTTCAACAGGTCCTGCGAATACCTGCGAGCACCATCCATGCACGCAGTTTAAGGAACCAGGAAGTCGGAACTCGACGCTGTCTCTCTGCGATTCTGCGCGAGACAGCATGGGATCAGCTGAGCCTGCTGCAAACATCCCGGAGCTTGCCTAAGCATCAGCCAAACATGGTTGGAAGGGAGGAACGGCCCAGTAGCCGGTGGCCAGACACCATCATTTGCAAAAATAAGGGTACCCTTTTTTGGGGCTCCCGGAAAATTCTTATAGTATTTTGGGGGGGTATATTAGGGGGACCCTATTTTGGGAAATGCCCATACCCTCTCGACCACCGGGAGAACGGCCCCGCCGCTGCGAATCAAAGGTATCACCTGGGCTCTGGGAGTCGGAGGTGCGCACCTTTTGGGATGTTCCCCCTTAGACTATCAGCTTCTTCATAGGGGTTGTAATAAAGGGGGGGGGGGGTACTACAATCCCTATTAATGACTGCTATATAGTATAAGGGGAAGCATCCCAGTGTGCCTTCCTTTATCCGGCGCCGGAACCCGAAAAGCTGCGACAAATTCTGAGTCCCTGATGCCCCCAAGAGAAATCCTGGCCGAATGACAGCTGCTCCCCGCTCGGCCGCTGCCTTGGCGAGATTGGATTTAGGGTTTAGGGTTTAGGGTTTCGGGATGTAAGAAGGTTTTGACATGTTTACCTCCCGGCGCTCGGGTCAGGCTGCGTGCTTCCCGCTGCGCAATCGTAGCCAACGCACCAGCAAGAAACAGTAGGAGATTCAACGGAAGGCTCGTGGATTTGTAGGGGCCTGCCAGCTCAGCTCCCAAATCGACTACCATGCCTACATAACCGTGAGAGAACGCTGAAAACCTTGCTAGACTGATCTAGATTGACCCTTCAAACCCTTCCCGGCGCAAATGTTCCTAAACAAGATACTCTCAGGACCAAAAAGGCAACAACAAGAACACTTTTTCAAAAAACCCTACAGAAAGTTCAACCTCAGAAGGGTCCAAGAGGCCTTGGCTTCTCCTGCAACTCCCGGCCCACCCTGAGGAGGTGTGGACAACCAAGAAGGCGTTCCCATCTGAACACTCAAGAAAACCTGCCCTTCCTGAGGCTGTGTGGGTTAACCCTATATTTTTATATAGGGTCCTAGAGATGTTTCCAAGGCTCAAGGGTTTGTTGGGGGTCTGACTGTGGAAAGTGTAAAGGGTGTAGGAGGCTGACCGAAGCTTACGAAGCCAGCAGGAGGGCTAGAAACGGATCGTGGACCCTTTTCAGTTTGCACTGCCACTGGCCTCAATCGTGATGTACAGGTCACCCAGCAGCCCGTACACGTCCTCTACAGGAAGATCGGCCACGCACAGCTCAAGTTCTACAATCTCACCCTTTGTATGACTGAGTCTGAGTCTCCCTCAGCAAATCAACGGCTTCGAAATTCTGTCCTTTCTCTCCGCCAAGCTTGCGCCTTCCATGTGCCATATCCAAATCAACCCCAATGACAACCATGCAACTAACCCTTTTGCAGGCTGCAGTGTTAGATAATCTACGGTGATTCTGTGTAAAAACTGGTCAGCAGTTGCTGCGCGAGAGTGGCTGCACCAGAGTTGGCCTGCATGGACGTCTTGCCCTATGAAGAACTTGCTTTGCTCGCCTGAAAGATGAATGCACAGCAGAGACAAGAACACAACTCCTTGGGCAAACGCGGTGTGTGCCACCTGCTAAGTACTGATCCTGGCGCTAAGCACGCGGCCGAAAGGTGTGAGGTGAAAGAGTGGCAAGCTCTCGGGGCAGCTGTCAGCGAAAGCCTTCTGAACCTCGTCACGCAAACCGTGCAACATCTCTGCCTGATGCACAGTGTGCTTGGTGGCCAAAAAAGAGCTAATCCCAACAAGCGAGCAGAAGTCGAGGACGGTCGAGGCCCGGGCTCCCACCATGCCACCCGTCATGAAGACGGCTTGCGAACCCACTCGCGAGCTCAAAGCTTCGGCAAGTTCCTTGACCTGGTTGTGGTTAGGAACTGTGGTCTTTATTGTGGCAAGGCCCTACAGCAGGAGCAGAGCACCGCCACACTTTGCTGCAATAAGGCGCTTGACTTTACTTCACATAACATAACCACAACACAAAGCTATTTGCTGTGTTCCTATGTTCAACTACATACTGACATACTGCAGCCAACGCCAAGTTGGACAGCTGCTTGCTGGGGATGCGACAGTCTCCTGGCGTGACGGCTGACATGGTGAACAGCACAATACCCTTGTTCATACCATGCAGCCTCCGATACATGACGCTGATGCCACCCCCCCCCCCCCAGATTTTGCAGCCAGATGAGGCCTGAGTCTCCGCTTTCGATATGGAGGTGCCGCCGAGGACACAGATGATTGGCTTTGATGGCAGCTCCTTCCTGGCCGGAGGTGTGTATTCATAGTGTGGTTATGTATAGACTATCGACTTTGCCCATTGAAACCTGTGATATACCTTGCCTGCCGGGGACCGCTTTGTGGTCGCGGAGCCCTAAACCCTAACATATCCCCCTCCCCCCCCACCCTCCGCAAGGGGCCTCAGGCGCCGGACCGAGTCAATGGCCGATTCCGTTGGGAAGCGCTCTTCCACGCAAGTCCCTGGTCACGTGGGGGGGTTGAACTAGGTGCCTTATCGAGTCTGTACAAAGTGTGTGTGTGTGTGTGTGTGCATGTATGTGGACGTATCTTTATCTCTGTCTCTGTCTGCCGTTGCATGTATACTAGATATGCATACATATGTATGTATGTATATATATATATATACATATTTGTATGTATATCTCTTCTTCGTCTACTCAACGAAAAGGCCCCCCCCCCCCCCGAAAGGGACGGCCCCCCTCGGACTTTGCGCGGTTGCAAGGAGACCCGGAGGTCAAGGGGTGGGGAGATGTCATATAAATATACTCTCTCTCTCTCTCTCCCTCGCTCTCTTCCTCTTCCCGCTGTTTTCCGTAGCGTCGCTTTGGGCGGGCACACGTATGGAGCCACATCACAAGGGTGAAAGGGTTTAGGGCGCTGAAGAACCACAACAATGAATGAGCCAAGGCTGCAAGCTTCCTCTGTGACAGGTTGTGGGAGGCCCTGAGATCCACTTTGGGAGGTTTTGGAGTAAACTTCTAAACTTTGGCTGCTCACTGCCGGGACCGTGAGAGTCATCGAACACCGGCTGCACCTCGGGCAACAACAAGAAGTATTTGATGATCTATGAACACAACTTGGTGCATACACCTGAGACTCCATTTCCTTGAAGCTTAAGCTGCAGTAGCAAGCCGTCTGCACATGGTTCAGGGTCTACAGGACGGCCTGTCTGGGTGCCCTGCAAGTTCCACAAGCCCAATGAAGCTCGCAATCCGGATTCTGGATTTTCGTGCAGCCAGGAAGCAGAGCATGAGGTTCGTCACAACGAGAAGCGCAACTCGTCACAGCGAGAAGCGCGTCTCCTGAAATACGCGTGAGCTCACGAACTCTCTGGCGAGTCAAGCCTTACTCAAGGTAGCTGTTTACAGGCTATTGAAATCTGGTGCGGATTGGCTACGCTACTAGCTGCAAATCAAATGACATGCCCATGTCTGCTTTTTTCGTAAGTTGGACAGGGGAATCATGACAGGGCAGCGCCACTTCGCAGCATTTGTGCATGTGGAACTGTTAATTTTCAATATTCACCGGCATGAAGGTAAATCACAAAATGCAGCTGAAAATTAAGGATTGTGCTTTGGGAGACTACGCCAAAAAGCCCTATAGAAATGCTTTCAAGCAACAATGTAAACCCAACGCGAAACGATAAGCTCCCTTACACAAAGCATGTCGACATGTTCCTGAGGTCATGGGTGATGGACACCAAGAAAAAGTAAACTGCAAGGTTGGCCGCTTCCCCTCATGCATCTGGCCTGTTCGTTCGGAGATTGCTTCTCCTGCCCTGCAGAAACTGAAATTCAGAACTGGGTTCATGGCCACAATTCCTGTTTTCAGCACCATTTTGAGATAAGAAAACGGAACTTTTAATTTGGCGTGCCTTTTCCGCATGAACTCCAGGCAAAACCAAGGTTCTTTTGCTCAAAATGCAGCATGCCGAGTTTTTGGTCGCATGCCGAATTTCTGCCCAAAATCATGGAAATCATGGATGTGGAGAGTTGTTGCGACTGCCACATTCCTTAATTTCAGTTCCGTTTTCTTTTAAACAGATGGAGCTGAAATTAAGATGGCATCAGGAATTGCAGTCATGCAACCCAGTTCTTAGTTTCAGTTCGGTTTTTGTTTAAGTAGTCTGAGCTGAAACTAAGGAGCCTGGCAGGTCCTGGCAGGTCTTGGCAGCTGACTTTCGCGGTTGGCTGCCATTGGCTGCCACCAGCCCTCACCACACCCTAAAACTGCGTTCTGACGCTGCAGGTTGCTACACGTCTGAAGCATTCAGGCGCAAAGACTTGCTGATGACCAGAAACAAATCAAAACAAAAACAAATCGGACATCGCCCTGCGTTCTCGGCAAGCAGCTTGCGCAGGTTCAAAGGCTGCTGCCTTCTTTCTAAGGTTACATCATTGATATCAATCAAAAATCTGAGGTTTCTCTGCAACCACGAGCTGAAAATCAGGCCCTTTGACCGAACCTTAATTCAGCCCCCGTTTTTCTTGCAGTGAATTTGGAAATTTAACATGTGGAACTTGTGCACCGTAGGTTGCGACGGAAACGCAACGCCGACAAAGCTTCGTGAGGAACTGGTGCTTCTTGCTCTTCGCGCACGTCAACCTGGCAAGAACTTGGCACAGCCACGTCTGTAGATGCTGCAAACGGACTTGCTGGTACCAACTCCGAGCTTGTATCGCAGCCTAGGCAGCCCATAGCCGTGGTAGCAAAAAAAACACTCCAGCCTCGGCCTCCTCTTCCTCGCAGGGTGCTTCGAGGGCCTGCCAGCTAGAAGCTGCCCCCGCCCCTCATAACTCTGCGCGTGCAGGCCGGCTCATTTCTCCACCTGCCCTGCTTGCTCCTTGGGGGACGAGTTCTAGTGATCTCTGCCAAGGCGAGGCAACGGGAGCAAATGAAGAGGGAAAGAGCAGAGTTCCCAAAGCCCAACCTCAAACCCATGGATCCGCCTCCAGGTCTGGCAAGTCCATCCTCGGCTGCTTCGGATGCTGGGGAAGTCAACAACACACATCAGCACATAGGGCTCATGCTGGACTCGCTCTAGTGTCATTGCCCACTTGATGCTTTAAAAAGACCGGGCTGGTTCAGTGTCACCCCGTACCCGCTGTATCGTGTTTTTTGCTCTGGGTGCTGGGTTATTCAAGGGGCTGCAGCCTGACTCTATCTTCTTTCCCTCCGCACTAGGGAGCTAAAGCTATAAAGCTCTCTTGAACTTCCTTGATGGCTTCGATATACAGGTACCCTCTATCAAGGCCCGGTGCCGAGGGAGGAGCGCAGGAAGGTTGAGGCATAAAGTGCCTTAAGGCTTCCATGTTTTAGACTGCAATTTAGACTCTTCGACGAACCTTAGGAATCATGCGGGTTTCTTTGGGGTGTCGTTTTTCAAGCTCCTTCAATTTAGACAGGTTAGGGGGGGGAGGGGGGGCAGGGGGGGCAGAGGAAGAAGCTTGTCCGAGCATCTGCAATCCCGACATCTTGCTCATCTCCGACACCGCCGCAGACCCAATGCCCTGCCAGGGACGCGTCACTGTCCCCCAAACAGATGCCCCCAATGAACGCACGTGAGATCCTTGAGCTGTCGCTGAATCTACTGAATCTACTGGCATTCGGGCCATCATGGCCATTAAACCTCATGGCCGTCAAGCCCTAAAGCCAGCCGAAAGTATAAGGGAGTCTGAAGTGCGAGACGGGTGGCCATCGGCTCCTCCTGTATCCAAAGCATGGGGTCATGGGGTTTCGAACATTGGGATCGGGGTCATGAGCCACAGATTTTCATTCTTGCTTGTGTGTCGGCTACACTCCTACTTCGACCCTGCATCTCCAGCGACAACACTGTCCAGCACAGCATCAGCAAGAGCAAGACGACAGAATCAGTTCAAAGGCAGGTGAGAAGTGCTCTGAGAAGTACATGGCTCAACTGATGCCTCCTGCGCACGTCCACCGTCACCAGAGACGACGACGGTGCACTCGTCACCCAAGCCAATGCTCCTGAGGCATGACATTCTGCGAACAGGCCTCACTTTCAATCTCTCACAACCAAATCTGAACACACGTGCAGCCTCACCTCACCCTCCGGTGCAGCATTGCGAAGACCAAGCGGGGTCTGCCTCAGCGACATTCGGAGTTGCACATGTGGGGAAATTCTCATGCCGCTTGAACTGACAGGCAGCGAACAAGCAAGATGCATACTGGACTGTCTATGGATTAGGTGGAAGGCAAAGCCTTTCAGAACTCCTTGCCAGGGCTTGGCGAGCTGTGCGTGTACGGCCCTGAGCACTACGGTACAAAAATCTCATGACTCATACTCACCCTTTAATATAGAAAGCCTGAATCGTCCTGCATTACAAGGCTTCGTGGTTCAACAACGATGCAAATCCCGACAGGTCTGGCCATGCGAAGCGCCATGTCATCCAAGGCATGCATTCTGCTCCTAAGCTCTCCACCAGGATGGGCTATCCTATCACCCCCCCATAAACAGCCCTGTCAAGGCACTTGTTTAAGGGTTATAGGCAGTTATAGGGCCGAATAGCCCATCCTGGCACTCAGCATCTCGCGTACGGCATCACGTAGCGCACTGCGCACGGCAACACCCGGAGGGCGCGCCTGCAGGATTGTATAGAATATGATCGGCGGTTAGGTTGCTGTACATACTGACAGAGTACGATGTACGGTTTGTATCAAGAAGCGGCATTTGGGGTACATTGGGATCTTTTCGAACTTGATGTGGCAAGTGTGTCCCACAAATCCCAACCCCATGCAGAATCCAACCCAGCAAGCTCCTGCACTCTGAACCTGAATTACCTATAGAACATCAGACAAGTGCTCGGACGGAACCTCAAGCCATCCCAAGCCGAAATTTAAGCATTTTGTCATGCAGGCATGGGCATGCCTTGTTCTTCTGCGATGCTTTGCCACCGCAAACGCCGGGATTCTCGCCGGCCTGGTCAATGGTCGAAGCTTTGGTGCGCAGTACGTCTCCCGAGCATGTTGGAAGAGCCGTCGCAAACTGATGCCTGAAGCGCCGATTCCAAACCCTGGAGGCCAAACCCTGCTTCTGGTCTCGAAGTCTAGCTTTGGGATGTTTTTGGGTTTAGGGTTTAGGAACTTATTAGGAACCCTAAACCCCACACCCGTGTGATGCACTTGAAAGCCTCCGTCCCGTCGTGATTGAATCCGGCATGGCCCAGCTTTCGGTTGCTGGGGTGACCCCAGACGTAGAGGCGGTGGTCCCGGGTGATCCTCGGTTTGTTGGTTTAGGGTTGGGAAGCAATGGATCATCGTCTGCTGATCTCCAGCACAGTGAGTGCGTGAAGAGAGCGAGAGCGCGATGTGTGCGTAGACATGAAAAGCCACATTTTCTTAAATGCATGGAAAGCAAAAGAAAGAAAGAGAGAGGGGGAGAGAGCGCGAGAGAGGTCGAGAGCGATAAATGTACTCCGCTTCCTCTGCTCGCAAAGTACAATGCGATATAGGGCTCTTGCAAAGGGGGCCAATTCTCTGGCCAGATACCAAAAAGCCCCAGCCCTGAAAATACGACTTAGAACCTCTATTTTAGTCAGAGCCCCTAAACAGATCTTGGGCAGAAAGCATGTGAATCCAATCCATGCAGCATCGCAGAGTGCCAGCGCCCAGCGAAGACCCGCGCACCGCCTGAAGTTTCGAGGGCCATGGAACCTAAAGGCCATGGAACCTAAACGTCTCACTGGAAATACTGGGGTTTTTGCCACCCGCCTAGCTGCTAGGCGGGTGGCAAATACTAGGGTTTAGGGTGTAGGGTTTACTGGAAGCTTCTGCCTTAAGACTCCGATAAAACCTTTCACCCCCTGGGGACCCCTTCCTCGATTCCTCCAACCTTCCGTCCGACAAGTATCTCGCATCCTTTTGGAGCCGTAGAGTCTTGCAGGTGTTTTTCCCAATACAGGAAGCCAAGAAGTACCAATATCACCCCTTCTAGTCCCTAGAAGATGACATAAGCTACCCACATTGATGATGGCATACCGTGATCAGCAAGCTGCAGGAAATTGAGCACTTTCAGCAATTACCCTCATAGCAATTTTCGCAGCCGAAGCCCCCAAACCCTAATCGGTAACCACGTGCTGTCAAGTGGCGCTCTGGCTGGTAGGATGTGGTGCCGTCGTGGTGGGGAACGGCCTTGCAACCCGCGACCGCGAAAACAAGGGTGGCTTTAGAGTTCAGGAAGGAGTCGTCTGGAAGGGCAGGAGTTTTGGGTTTGAGGGACTTGGATTTGGAGGGGGAATGAGTTTGGTCAAGTAGTTCCGTCAATAAGGACATTAAAGAAGTTTGCATTCATTCGCTACAAAACTGGCACGCACGTCCATAACATGGCAAGCAATGCACTAACCTTCTTGTCACTTGGTCAGCTGCAAAGTCTAGCCAAGTGCACACGCTCAAAAAGCGTGCGCGCTGACAATGAGACAGAGGACAGTCACCGACCACACACACACACACACAAACGTATCAAACAGATGAAATGAAAATCAACCCTTGCATATACAAGTATACACCTGTAATCTACTGTTAAGCAAGGCTGATTTCACATGAGTCATGAATCATGAATGCCCGCGGATCAGCTGAACAGATTCTGATGCGCTGACACCCGTGTGATCTTTACTTTACTGGCATTGCTAGTTTTCAGTTCATGCAGTAATGCGGGTCTGTCCCGTCAGTCCCAGGCCCCGAGAATACAACCTTCCAAGAGAGACATCAAGAGCAGTAGGGAACACCAAGATTGAAACAAGCGCAGCCGCATAGGCCAACACAAATCTGCGACACCACGCAGTGCATCGAAGATCATAATCGCAGTCGCCACGCCAATGCAGTTGGTCAGCTGCTTTCAGCCCGCTCAAAAGTTCATTGCACAAAGGGAAGCCCCAAGAAACATGCCGTACTGTACCGAATTGCCCCGTAAGCTGACCTGAGCGCCTGGCGCGCTCCACGGGCACGAAGCGCACGCGTTGCACAGCACAGCCAGTGATGTGCCCAGACCCCACAGCCTCTGGGACCCCGCACCTGAGTTTAAAGGCTGTGTGTTGAGTTTGTGGAAGTTGCAGCCCACGACCTGTCCGAGCTCAGCGCAGTTACCTGAAAAGTTAGAAGCAGGTTGCAACCACATGGCTGAAGTTGCTACGCACATGGGCACTGTGTTGGCAACCTGTTCTGTTCACAACCTGCCCTGAGGCACGGAATCCTGAAGCTGAATTGTTTAAATTCAGTGCAGCGGCTGCCCGGCAAGGTTCTCCCCGAAGGCATAGAGGCGGCCATCCTCACCAAGTAAGGGTGGAGCTTCGACCCCCCCCCCCCCCCCCCAAACCGCAAACCCTGTTGCCTTGAAACCCGAAATCAAGCCCTGAGCCAGCCAGCAGCATTCCTCGTCCAGCAACAAGGAGAATCGTTCGCCGCAGGCGATGTCAATGACAGCCTGAAAACCCATGTCTTCGGGCACAGGCTAGGGCTTGAAATGGTTTCGTACTCTTCTCGATTTGTGCGTTCTGACCGTTCTGGGTTTAGGAGTTTAAGGTGCGAGGATGTAAGGAGTTATCACGTTATCGGCCCCGAGGAAAAACTTCCCAGATAAAAGTAGAAATCCCCCTTAAACGGACCCCCCAAGGTGTCATCTTGCACTTCCTCCGTGCCATGAAGCATGCATGGGCATCAGAACGTGTGAAGAAATTTGAGCTTCAAGCTAAGGTCTTGAAGGGCTCGCAAGTATGAGACGATGCAACAAGCTTTCGCAGCCTGGCTCGACGTGTTCCCCGCGCCTTCGGTCTGTCATCTGTCTCCTTCTTGTTGGCCGCGTCCTACGAGAACTTGCAATAACATACAAACATCCGCAAAGCCGGGCCTGTACCAACATGGAGAAGCACACGACCAACTCTCCTGTGCAGCTCGAGAAGCTGCCTCTTGTGGGAGAACGACTCGTCCCGGAACTTGGAAAGGACAGGCGCGTGTTGCAACAGCGACTGGTGGGCCGCAGTGCGTTTCTTGCCAGCCCGGACTCCAGCCAATCTAGCCGCTAGCCATCGAGCCAACACCCAAGCCCTTGCCTTAATCCTGAACCACATTGAAAAGGCCTGGAAGTTGCGAGGTTTCTGCATGCAACGGGCTGTGCGGTGCCCGCCGATCGATGGGGGCCTGCACAGAGAGCCAGTTCTGGTTTACTGTTCAGGAGGAGGAATGCCATGACAAGCAGTCCTACCATTCGCAGAATTCTCCTTCCCCTGATGAAGCCTCCCCCCCCCCCCGCCCGCCCTCGGCAAATTACAGCATGAGACCGGTCAGCCCCTTATCTATTGGGAGGTGTTGCAGAATAAGGCTGAAATGAAAGAAAGAAATGTAAGGCAATGTAAGGCCAACATTTGCCTGGGCTGGACTCAAGGGGACTCAGAAGCTTTTCGTGGAGCTCAGGGATGTTAGAGACCTCCATGGGCCCCCGAAACCCCAAACCCTGAGGCGATGGCGTTGCCCATCTCGCCGTAGGTACTGTCGCCCCAGGCCTCGTCACTTCCGGCTCACTGATTTTCTTGGTATTATGTTGCTCTTTTGTTTTAATACTCTTTTACTATTATACTATTCTTCTTTTCTACTTTTATTGTGGTATTGTATAAATATACCAACAAGTTGTTACATTATCATATTATTCCGTTATTCTACCAATATCAGGGTCTGGAATTCACATCGGATGCCATACACTCCAGAGCACTACGCCAAGCTGAGCGGCAAAAACTTCTCCAGCAGCGTCCAAGGCCAAGCCGAAGGCTGAGCCTAACCTCCTGGTTTGGGATTGGTTTAGGGTTTAGGGTTTAGGGTTTAGGGTTTAGGGTTTAGGGTTTAGGGTTTAGGGTTTAGGGTTTGGGGGGGGGGGGGGGGGGTCAAGGAGCCTATGAAGCATGAAAACTTTGGTGGCTGGTTACATCTTAGAGAAACAATTGTCACAACGAGCCATTGGAATTCTAGTGTTGCTCTCAGTTGCTGAAACGCTAGATGGAACGCAGTTGATTCAACGCTGTGATTAGCAGCTGATTAGCCTTGCGCCCTGCAGGTCTGTCGTTTTCTTCTGCACGCTTTCTTATATTGATCTCTAAAGGCCCCTTGATTATTAATTTTCATGTCATGGGAATTCTGGAGAACCTGTCTAGAGGTGGGTGGATCTGTGACTGCGGGTCGGGTGTATTGTGGTGGGGCTGTGGGAGTGAGGCTGTGTGTGTGTGTGTGGGCGTGGCGTGGGGGCGTGTGGTGACATGATTAATTTCTTGGAAAAGGCTGCAAAAAACAAACACCAATTTGGAACAATTGAAGAAGGGCCCTTGCCAATGAAGCCTTCGACTGTTGAGCGCGAGCGGCAGGGCCCGGACAGGACGCTCCAGTCTGAAACGAGGTGTAGGCTGATCCAGCACATCCTTACAAGGATTGAGGGCTGAAGCAAGCTTCTTGTCACAGCGTGCGTCCCACAGCCCTGACATCTGTTTCCACACCCCGCCATGCCCGTCACCAATGCGAGACTTCCTGAACCAATCTATCATGCTGCTTGCTGGCTGTGCTGCCAACTCAAAAGATCACCTACATAGTATCCTGGGTCTGCAAAAAAAGACCATGACTTGTACAATGCCAAAGGGCAGGACATGGACAGCAGTCTACCTCGCCCCAGAGGTAGAGAAGGTGTTCAGTCCTCAGCTGAAACAACCTCAATGCGCTCCGGTGCATCCGCAACTCCCGAAATTCGTAGTTTTGGGCTGCTCCGAAACTGCAAACCCCACGAGCTGGCTATGGGATGAAACAGCATCAAGGTTGACAGCAATTGTACTGTCCAAATAAGAAATCATCAAACAGCTTGTCCGCTCTTGTACTTCGGCTCCAGGACTTCAGGAAAACTCGTGGAATCGGAGGGAAGGGAAGAAGCCTAGTCTAAGTTGAGCCAGTGGCGGTGACAAGGGGTGAACCTCAAATAACAACCACAAACCAGCATAGACGCATTATGACGCATTGAAATTGGCATGTACGAAATAAGCTCATTTCTGAAGGGCATATGTACAAGCCAGTTTAGCCATTCACCAATGATTTATCAGAGGGGCTCGCTCCCCCCCGCCCTCCCCCCTTCCCCTCCCGCCTTCTCCCCCCCTCCCTCCCACACCCACACCCTTCCTGGGGATTACAAAAAAGGGGGCCATCCCTCCTCTCCGGAAAACTGGTACGTATTGAACAGGGCCACCACAAACCGTGGCGACGGGAGCCTCCTAAACTCTGAATCCGCGATGAAACATGAGGTATATGCCTTACTCTCGGGGTATGGGGCTCTTTGGGCAAGACAGGAACAGGGAAACAAGGTCAACAGGAACAGTTGCCGCTGTCGGGGGCTGTTCCAAAAAAGAGAGAGAGAAATATATATATATATACAGAAATATGTATAAGTATTACTGCAGTCGCAGAAAAACTCAGACTTCTTTTATCGTCGTCACACATCCCGGAGCCCATGCATGTGCGGGAAGGCCCTTAAGCGCCGTACATAACACAATATAATATTTTATAATATCATATCATATAATATAATATAATGAAATGTACTATCTCTCTCTGCCGTTGCAGAATACATATATATATATATGTATCTCTATCTATCTTATATGGAATGTTTATAAACATGTGACTGTGTTTTTGGGGGGCGAGAATGAGGCCCTGAAAGCTTAGGCCCCATGCTTCCATGGCTTAGATTCCCATTGTTGAGACCAAACCCCATGCGAGCACCTTGCGATAGGGACAGCGTTATAAGTTGTAAACGTCTCGATACTCCCACAATTCCCGAAGGGATGGAATCAGACTCGAACACGGGGAACATCTCGCGAGCAACAGAAACTCGTAGTCTGAAGCCCTTCCAGCAACACCATCTCGACCCGGAGCCCGAAAACATGCCCTAACCTTGAATATCCTTCCGATCTCGAGAGCCGGAGGGCTGTGAATCAGACTCAGCAACCGCACAGCAGCTACAGCCCATGCGGGCGGCGATTGCAGAGACATTGTGCTGGAACCTGGGATTCGGGTGTATGTATTCTGAAAACTCTACCTCCTGTTTCTCTAAAAATGAGTCATATTCTTCTGCTCCATACTATATTACTATATGCGATAGTGCAATGGGGTTCAAGGTTTTTGTCTCTTGAAATGTCATACTCGGAAGAGTCGAGGTTTTGACTTGGCCACATGTGGATTAGTGGGCGTCGCACGTCTCACAGTCTTAAACCCTAAACCCTGTTCCCTAGGCCCTAAACCCTAAACCCTGCACTCGGTAAAGCAAGGTGATGAGCAATGGTCTTAAGAAGGAGTGCCGCGAGATCTCCGCAGAGACACACTCTACAAGGGCAAACCCTAAACCCGAAACCCACACACTGGATGCCGGTGGCAACTTGAAATTAAAGTACAGGGAAGGTGCATAGACTAGAGTCCAAAGTGGACATATATGAGATCGCGGACCTGCTACTGTTACGTAACCTTACATCACTCTGTCCTGGCCGAAGCTCGGCAGCAGAGTTGGTGTTGGCCGGTCCTGGTGCGACTTGCGTTTGATGATTCATTTTGACCTCATATTTAGAATACCCCCCGCAAGTGCGCCATCCAATTCGCAAAACGTATCCGTACTTAGAAACTCCTCCGCAATTGCACAATCCTTCCGGGCCCAGGAGGAGCAGAAGCAGCTGTTTCCTTTATACTGGCTGTGGGTGTAGGGCTGGCCACCAAGGTACGTCCACAGGGTCACTATGTACTTCGAGCGTTTATCTGAGGACTTCGGGAGTCCATCGATAGATCGGCTTAGTACATGCATAGGACCCTTTTGCATTCGGACTCATTTGAAAATTGCCAGAAACAGGCTTCCAGTGCTGCTGGACTACTCCCATTCTCTAGCAAGCTCTAGGACCCCTAAGCCCCAAACCCTAGGGAGCCCACTGCTTCGAACAAGGGCCCGGGTCCTGACACGTGTCCAAGCCACAAGCCTCCCATGCTCCGCAGACGAAGGCCTGCGTTCAGGGTTTAGGGTTCTGCAACTTGCTGGTGAAGGTTCTCTTCAGTGTGAGGATCTAACAGAAGCGTTCCCTAGCACAGGCCCACACCTACTTCTGAGGAGCGCAAGACAGAGAGGCTCTCAACCAGGTTTAGGTTTTTTTTGTTTAGGGTTTATAGGGTTTAGGGCATGATGTCGATGTTGAAACACGAACCCTGATTGTGAGGCTCCGGATGTGAAGTTCTACGCGGACATATGTTAGTCCCTGTGGTGGAGTGCGTCATGTTCTAAAGCTCGCTACAAAATGCGGTGTAGGGCCTATAGGGATTTTAGGGATCCTGTCCTGCACGGCAGCTATGAACTCTAAACAAAGCTCCTGGCTTCTAAGTCTTCTCCCCGGCTCCGGTTCGACAAATACGTTCCCCTGCATACTGTACAGAAGCCTTCCGCCCAATGCAGCCGGCCTTCTGCGTCGTGCCGTTGGCGTCCCGCGCAAGGAGCAAGGTGTGATCGCCTGCCGCTGATGCTTAGATGCCTCTCCGTCTTCTTGTAATTTCTCCTCTACGGGGCTTGAGGAGTAGGGAAGTTACCCTACCCCCCCGCGCACTGGGCGCGCCCAGTGTGGGTCTCTCTCTCTCTCTCTCTCTTGCAATTTTGCTGGCGTTGCGGTTGTATCTCAGAAGACAAGTACAGGCGCCGAAGCAGAGTCTTTCAGGGCCATTCTCGATGATAAGCAAAGAGCAGCCTAGAGCCTGGACACGACATAATATCCGTGTCACGTACATGACAAGAACCTAGTTTTCGGTTGACGTATTGCTTGACGCGTGCGTTTTTTTACAAGTACTTGCCTTATTTCCATGCTATGCAGATGCAGGGTAGGCACAGCACCGGCGCGTGGTTTGTGATTAGCTGGCAGTTCCTGTTTCTGTTGAGGGCTTCGCGACTTCTGTTCACTGCCCTTGCCCAACGACCCTCGCAGTCTCCCGAGATCTGTGCTCTAAATGCCTCATTGGCACCATCTGCATAGACTTTCGGGAGTGGAAGATCGTCCATGATGTTTGGTTTCAGGGAACTTCAGGAAATACTCCGCCTCCACAAGCAGCTCCGATGATGATCTGCGGCTGGGCACCTCTTGAACCCATGAGAGCCCATGCTTCTCTCACCCTTCGCACCGCAATCCAAAGAGTCGAAACAGAGTCCCAGCAAATATAGCTTGCAGCCAATTTTTCCCTTTCCATTCTACCATGCCTACTCAGTGCGGCCCACATCTCTTGGCAAAAAATGCGGCCACAAATACTGGAGCTCTGCACTTCCAAATTGCAAACCTGAAAAACAAAACAAATGCCCAGGCAGTCCAAGACACATTCTTTTTACCTTCGTGCCCTTTACGAAGGGACATCGACCCAACAATAAGGTAGACTTCTCTTTGTGCGGGTAGATCTACTTCTCTTTAAATAGACATACACATAAGATACATACACCTGCGTACATGGCTCTGCCCGTAGTCTTTCAACCTCCTAATCGCCCCCACCGCCACGCGACTGGGCACCTGGAACCCTGAGTGGCGGAAGCGCTGTGAGTGTGCAGCTCGAGGGGTCCTGTAACCAGGCTCTGTGGGCTGCATGTTAGAATTGGGCTGTTTTGGGGGGGTGAATTTGAGCCCCTACCAGATGCTGAAAAAATCATGGTTGAGAAAACTTCAGTACGCTAGACATATCTGCCTTCGCACGCTCGGAAACTCAAAACTGCAGCTGCAGCTCGTAAATGCCCTCAAAGGTCACAGCTTCAGGGCTCATGCATCTGGAGGGCTTTAGCCGAGGACCCTGGTGTCCGGGGTCGGTAAGGGGTCGGACAGGAAGTAATGATTTCGGAGCTGTTTGCTTCATGAGGAATCAGAGGCCAGTTGAGCTGCCTGCAAGGCCGCGCCTTACAAATTGTAGGTTTCTCTAAGCCCTGCTATTAGCCCTACGGTATCAAAAGCAATGCGCTGAACTTTGTGGGATATCCCCTTCAATGTGCTTCAGGCTGCCTTGTTGGAGTACAGTTCACATAGTTGGGACGTTGCATGGTTTAGTGCAGGGTTGCTCGGCTGCTGCTTCGTCTCGGCACTCCCGGCCTCAAAGCTGAAGTCTCCAAGCCCCAGCTGTCCCCTTGCGGCTCAGGGAATGTGGGCTGGGCATGCCGCATAATGATTTCGTCCGAAAGTCTCGGATGCTGCTTTCGATATTAGTTATTAGTGGGATATTCGTGTGGCAATCCCACCCCCCCCCCTAGGCGGCATGCGAACTCCAGGAATGTTTTATAGTGGGACGGACATAGTCAATCGTGAAACCTGAAGCCCTGCACCAACAATCGAGCTGCATAGACCTCAGATGACTTCTTTTGCAGGTTCTTCACAGGAAGAGGCTCACTTATGTGATGCATGGAGAGACCAACCTGCAGTTGCTTCCATAGGCGAAGGCATGGCCGGCATCAGTCACCAGGATGCAATGGCTCCCGCCCACCGCCACTTCGTGTATGATCCTTGGCCCGGCGCATGGCGCATGAACTACTGGCAGGCGAGCGACGGCCCGAAGCCTCCACCTTGACCATCCTTATAAGCCATGCCGTTCTCCCAAACCTCTCCAGACATTGCAGGTCTAAAGTCGTGGGTGCGGGGGGCGAAGGGGAGAAGGGGGGAAAGCGGGCCTTGGAGGGCCACATTTCAAGCTACAGGCTTCCTTGGGCCAGGATCCGCAGAGCCAAGAGCCATCCTCTGAAAGCAAAGTTCTAAGCCATGCCGCACTTGGCCCAAATGCTCGTTGGTCAGCAGGCGGCCTTGAGGACCATTTCGAATGCAGTGCTTGCAAGCTTGCCGGTTGTGGCTCTTAGTTGGGGCTCTAACCTGACTATCGTTTCGACCGATCTGAAATGTCACAACACACGGCTGGTGCAACGATGTGCAACGACTCAACGACAAGGCTCCATCGAAAGGAAGTTGTTCCTTCTCCTGCCAGAACCTGTCGCCATCTGCCTGGCATGTCAGAAAGCGCGCAGGTACGGTACAAACAGCCAGACCCGCCAAACACGCTCTGCCTGCACGTCATCCTCGTCCCCAAGCCTGGAGTCGTCGAAATCCTCCTCATTGTAGGAGAGCAGACGTGCACTAAACTTGCTAAACCCCAGGACCCTGAACTCCACACAACATCCTTGGAGCCCCTGCGACCCTCAGACCCCCACAATGTGCATGCAAAAGCAAGAAGCAGCCCATAGCGATCACAAAGAGGCTTGTAGAATCCGTATCCAAAACGGCTATGATCCTTTGAACGCAAAGCTAGTCAAGTCCTGAATTTCGGGCTGAGAAAAGGCTCCCCAAACCCTAAACACAACAAAAGCCATCAACCCAGACAGCGAAACAACCTCACGGTGCTCCTCGCTGCCGTTGAAGGAAACCGATTCCTCACCTTCAGACTCCCCCCTCCCGAAAAAGTCGCGGCCTGATCAGGGTTCATGAGTGTGGAAGACTTAGGACTTAGGACCGCACGTTAGAGATTTTTATTAATATTATTAATGTTACAAAAATGGTTTTATTCATAGTCTTGATCATACTATGAATGATGTTTATTAATAATATTAGAAATGGACTTGATGTGGGCTTTGGTTGTGAGAACGACAGGGAGCTCATCACGCAGACGATGTAGTTTGGCTTTTGCTTTGCCATGGAGTTTGGGTTTCGATTTGAGGGCTCAGGGGCTGGGACCCAGGGCGTGCGCTTCAAATCAAGCTAGCTGTGAGTTTAGCTGCGATCTAAAACCCAAGTATCAATCAACAAGAACAATGCCATTGCTTCGGCATCGAGGATTGGAAATTCCAGGAATGCTTTCCGTGCAACCTTCAACTTTCAGTCTTCGGCTTCAGAAACACATATATGGATGTTTTGTTTGTTTATTGGTTTTTGGCTCCAAAGCCTTGAGGTATAGTGAAGGACAGCTGTCGGGACACTCGCGCGAGAGCTGCACCAAATGTCGAGTACGCGATGCAGACTTCCTGCTGTTACTGCTTACCTTACATTGCCTTTGACAGATGCTCCCACCTCCCTCTAATTTCTGGCCTATAGCGAACCTCCTGTACACTTTCCGAGTATGCGCAAAGACCGACTCGTGCTGCACCTGAATATTCCAGAAGGTCCTCTTTCGAAAAAAACAAAATCCCAGGGTTTTACCCTTCTAAACTTTTCGGTTCCAAAATACGGATCATCCAAGGTTAAACTTACAAACCCGATCGTTCAGATAAAGGCTCTGTAAAGTTGCCAATCGTCGTGGGGAGATTACCAAGCTTCTGAGTTTTTTATCCTCATGGAGCGGCCCCGAAATCAAACCGCTTGCGGCTTTACTTGAGTGATGGGACAGGCGGGGGTCATGGTTTCAACCAGCAGCTTGTTCCTACGACGGACACCGACAACGTTGGATCGACTGACGGTGGGCGTCATCCCGGGACCTTCCTGGAACTGCTGCGGCCGGGCGGTGGGGGAACCGTTGACTTCTGCCGAGCGCTCGTAAGGGTGCAAACTTAGAGGTAACGATTTGTACTAAGGGGTTAATGCATCTTCGCCCTCCTTCTCCCTGGCACCTCTTGTCCAGGACTCGCCACTGAGAACCTCAATCAAGTAATTGTTAGTATGGCTCTCAGGCTGTCTGTAGATGGACTTGGCTTCCTTGTATGCTTCCATCATGGCAGCCATCGGACTACCAGGACATGACAGCTTATAGCACCTGTGCAGCACTCCAGACCCTGAATGCGCTGGCGAGCAACACCCCATAGTTCCACAGTGGTGCTGCAGGGCGCGGTGGTGGGGGCACCTTAGCTGCTGACCGTATGTATTGTGTGACCTGAGCCCCTATAGGCGCCCCCAACCGCAGCTTCCGATGCGTTTTGCAGCTGCTCTTCAATCCCCCGCAAGCATATGATTGAAGCTGGTACACAAGATCTGATCTTCCCGGGATAAAGAGCTAATCCCAGCTAATCTATTTCTGTGACTTCTACAACATGTGTGGGCAAACTGGCTATTAGCAAAAAGTGCAAGTAAGCAGCCATCTTCTAGGTAGTCCGTGGAGAGGAGAACCTTCGACTGGCTTAGGTGGCATCCTGTCTCGGTCGGTGCCTGCAGCCATCCGGGAAAGTCATCAAACATGGTCATGGCTACGTGGCTGCTGCCTTCTTTGCAGCGCATACGTACAGCAGGAGCTGTTCTTCAGCGTCTGCACAGTGACTTCGCAGAGCTGACAAGTCCGTGAGATGCAATCTCTGACAAAGCGCAGTCGAATCATGACGTCATTCACCCCGACGTCCTGCACAAGACCAGCATAAACGAACCATGTTCAGCGGCCTTCCAATGAAGCACCATCAACAACTTCCGAGAACACTTGCAGCACCCGCCATCTGAGTTGGCTCCGTTGACGCGGAGGCACTGCGCATACTACAGAATCGGATGATGCCAGTCTAGCTTCTGGTTGCATGACTCGCCTTCCTCCTGGTCTGACCCTAGCTCTAAGTCCAACACGCGCTGCTTGAGGCCTGCTACCCGCGAAATGGAAGATCGCCAGAGTGTTGTGAAGGAACGTTTTAACTACATGAAGTGCCTAGTAAGCTGCACAGCATGCATGGGATGCAGCATGTAGGGTGCTTTCGGCTGCCACCTTGAGCCCACATTGCCGACAGAGTGTGCTGCAAGCGCTTTCTTCCACCGGTTTTTAGGATGCTGCTACTTGGGGAGAAGGTTTTTGTTTTGGACATGTGGCTTGTGCTGGGCAGTGGGGAACGGTTGAACGGGGGGCGGGGATGGCAGGGGCGGGGACTTCTGGACCCTGCAGCACCTTCTCCTTGCTCGCTATTTGGCGTGTGGATGCGTGTGGCGATCAAACAACACCGGTCGGAGGAAGTCCACGCAGAGCATCGCCGGCCCGAACTCCACAGCGCATATCTGAGGCCGGATTTGTTGTCTTCCTCGAGAAAGGCTTTTTCAACCAGCAGTGCTTGCGAGAAGGTGAGAAGGTAAAGGCTCCACAGGCCACATTGGCCGTGCAAGCTGCGCAGCAACCAGCTTCAGTTTCCTTGGGGCTATGTGTCAAGTCATGCCCAGGCATGTCACAAGCTTCGACAAAAAAGGCCGCACAAGTGTCAGGGACCTCTGCGTCCTGTGATGGGCTCAACTTTTCAAAGCTTCGCCCAATGTTGCTCCACAGCGTATCGTGCGCATGATAGCCGCGCAAAACTGCATATTGGTAGCCATCTTCATTGATGACGTGATTTTCAGCATCCGACTCGAAACTGTTCGCCGCCACATGAAAACCTGACCATACAGGCCCCCTGCGATTGTCGTGCAGGTGTAAACTGACGCCTGGGTGCGCAGCATGTGCCATGTGATTGGCAAAGGCGTTGACAACGCCCGGTTTGTGGCACGCGGTTTTGGAAGCCACCTCATCCATCAGGTCTGCAACGAACTGCTGCACATCAGCACTGGAGCCGATCATATAGCCAGCCGGAACGCGTGGCTTGGCGTGTAGGTACACGGCCTGCGTACCATAGCAAAACTCCAGGATCTTCCACATCTTTCCGGAATTCACAACGACGCCAGGCTCATCCAAGAACAGATGCAGCCCAGGCTCTTGCTCAGAAGCCCAAGCAAAAGGGTCCGCCTGGAAGACGATGTCATCGACATCGGAGAGCTGTAGGATCTTGACATGGCCCGGCATTTGCTGGAGGTACTGGTGGATGAAGAACAGGTGGGTGTCTTCACGCGAGAGCGTGCTCCACAAGCCCGGAAGAGGTAGCACTCTTTCCAGCTTGACTCGAGTCATGTCCAAACCTTTGTTCTGCAAGTCTGACTCCTGAACCATCGGCTCCACGAGGAGGACCAGCTGCGATTGCGTGGCACGCTGATAAGACTGGACGAAAAGAGTCATGGCGTCTTGATCAGAGCCCACGGCAGAAGCAACCGCCATGAAGTCCATGGTGACACCACCTGCCGTCTCAGGGAACGGTTCCCTGTTCGGCTCTGACGTACTAAGCTCCGCACTGTCCAAGGCATCGGATACCTTAACACTTGTCTGGAGATCTCCGGCATGCCGGACTTCGGCCAAGCGGCCGAGCAAACTCACCAGGACGCAAATCTGCAAAACCAGAACAGTGCCAAGAAAGCAAACACAAATCCAGCAGAAGTCCTTTGAGGAGATGATGGGCACATTCAGGGCCACTGGTGCCCGTCGAGGCGGCATGGGGGCAAAAGCATAGCCGATTTAACCAAAGGAGGGCCTCCCTTCATGTTCATGAGACCTACGGCATCAAGAATAGCATGCTGTGAGCTGTGGCCGTTACGTCTACACGGCTCTTTGGCCAGTACCTTTCGTTGTCAGTTGAGCACAGCGCTGGAGGTCATGGCATCGGACTCCCAGAGCAGTCGAAAAACAAGCCCACGTCGGAAGTGTCTCCATGTGCTGGAAGTTTGCGTTTGGAAGCACTTGCGCTTTTGTTTGTTGTAGTGCTGGGTAGAAGAGAGGTACGGCGGGCAACTTTCGGGTCTTCTCATGAGCAGCCGAGGCTGGTTATGATAAGCTAGTCCGAAAATGAAGCATCGCAGGTCAAACGGGGGCCTTCCTAACACAATCCCAATCACCCCGGCATCCACTTATCACCAATCTTCACTGGCGAATTACGAAGTTCGAACTAGCCCCATCTGTTGCAAAGTCGTAGCCTGTCTTGTCCACGCAACAGGAGTTCTTTATCGCGCTGACCGCCATGCCCATGGTTCCTGGTGATCAAACTCTGCTATGGAACAGTGACAAGTACAACGGTACAAACTGGAATATGACACCCAGGCATGAAATTAGCATGGGTCCCCTACAGCAAACCGCACAGCAATGCCCACATCTGACATCTGTAGTTGTGGTCAGCTATTGAGTTGACTTCAGGTGGCAGAGCATTTGCAAATACTGCCGATTAGCACTCCTCAGCACGATCGTTGCTGAGCTTATGGTGCAACTTGATAGACCCCAACACGAGCCCTTGCGGATTCTCCTGCCGAACTGCAGATTCCAGGCAGCGAGTAGCGGACACAGGATGGACTTCAGATCCACACTATGCTGATGACAGGCTTCTGTAAGCTACGGCACAAGGGAAAACTTTGTGGGCCTGAGCTATGAACTAACTCATGTCCATGTGGAGGATGTGTGCCTTCCACGTAAGTATCAGCGTCTGCTCACCCTACAATCGCTGAGAGCCCATATCGGCCAGCAAGTTGCCTGGATATGCGAAATAAGTGAATGGCAGGCTGCTTCAACAAAAGCTCGGGATACATCGCGAGTGGTGCTGGCATTGGGTGCTGGAAATAATTGGCCCTCGGTGCATCGAACAAACCAGGGCCACAGCTTCTGCAGAACCGATGCGTCCATCAACCACTCGTTGAGCAATCTGGGCAAACGTCAGAAGTCGGGGCACGCGACAAAACCTCCCTTGAGGGCAAATGATTTGCAACAAAAACAAACTCTAAACCCCAGTACTTACTTAGACCCTAAAGCCTAACCCTTACAAACAAAAACTCTCAACAGCCAAGCTCGGCACACCCATAGCGCCAGCCTCGACAAGAAGGCGTTAGAAAACATGCAGCAGAAGTTTCTCGTGGGGAGAAGGGATTGCTGTTTAAGAGTTGGCAGCAGCCGCCGGCGTGGGTCAAAAGACCGTGTGTTGAGGTGAGTCCGCGTGTGTTTGTCCTCTAAATGTCCGTCACGCCTCCCAAGGCCCAAAACCTTTCTGCAAACCACAAGTCAACTTCTCAAACAAATGCAGAAGCTAGCAACTAAACATGCGCATACATAGGCAGATGCATAACATATGCGTTTTTTTCATATTATGCGTCTACGTATATATGTACACACACGTGTATATATATATATATATATATATACATGTATGCATGCATGCATGTGTGTATGTGTGAACATATCAAGATGATATCAAGCTGAACATGTATATAGCTATAGAGACACATCAGAACGTCGAGCACTAAACCTGAAGCCTGAAAGCGCCCTGAACGCCAGGGCTGCGGCTCTTCACTCGCCACCCCCGTTGGCTCAAGCTCTGGGTGCGAGGCCTGAGGTTCGGGCATTCGGAGTAGTAACTCGTGGAAACTATGATTTCTCAGTGATAATCATGGGCAACAAACGTGATTGTACAAGACAAATCAAAAACGAAGTATAGGTTATGCCCTGCCCTGGGCTTCCGCGACCGTGTTTACTCTCGTCTTTATGTGCGACCGGGGTTGCACGGGTACTGTGTATGAGCCATGCGAAAAACTCTAGATGGTGGTCTACAGAAGTACAGGCAATTCACCTTCACTGAGAAATTCAGACACCCCGGCATCCCGGAGCATGATGCACGAGAATTATGCAGACTACGGCGCGTGAAAAGTCCTTGAGACTTGAGAACCGTGAACCGTCCGTAGTTTCCCCGTGATTTCCCATGAAAGACCGTGACTACTCGGCACTTACAAGCCATGCAAAATTTTGGTATCAAGAACGTTGTTTCCATGCAATTTTACACGGCCGTGCCGCTGGCTGACAGGATCTAGTAGATTTTGCATCAAACACGAAACTTTGTGAGCGTTTATCAGGTTTGTCTCAGGTTTCTGAGGGCAAGGCTGATGCTATGGTAAAAACTACAAGCTAAGATGCGAAAGCGCTTGTGAGAAGCACAACAAGCGAATCTTGGATGTGTTTCAAGACCCCGCCCCAAGTTCTGCTCGATGCATGCATGTAATGCCTAGAGCTCATGTTTGGGGTTTTTTGGTTTTCAGACCTGTAAAACTAACTTTCCAACATGTCACATGTTTTTTTATTCGTCTTGCTATTTGTTCGGCTTCTGCACTGTCGGGTGTTTCATGGTCTTTCCTCACCGGACGCAGTTACCATATCCTTTGGAGGGTCAGGGTAAAGCAGTAAGCAGCAGAACACCTCCAAGACGGCTGCGAAGAGCAGCTTCTAGGAGCAGCAAACCCTAAAACTTCAACCCTGACCCACACCCCAAACCCTTGAACCCTAAAATACCCAGCGGCTTTGGGCAAATCACCCCTGGCCCCCCAAAGCCCCAAATCTTCGACCTCTATAGAAGCTGCAAGGGAGCAAACCCCTCAAGCCCTGCGTCAAGCCCGTGCAGCCCAATCTCGACAATCACTGGGTTCCCCAAACTGGAAAGCAGTCACCTCATGGGTTCAAATGCTTATATAGATCTTCGAGCTTCAGGTCGGGTTTGGTGGGTTGTGGGCTCGTCTCAGAACTTAGGGTGTGGCAGGGTTTAGGTGTTGGGTTCGCGCTGCCGGGGATGAGAGGCATCGGGCCTCAAACGACCGTTATCTGACAACGTCCTGGTTTCGGATGCGGGGTTTATGTAGAACCTGTGCTGAGGGGATCCCAACCCTACCTGGATGCGTGAAGAGATTGTGCAGGGAGGCATGGTGCGCCGATGCCCCGAAAATCTCAGCTGAAGAATGCACTAAGCTGAAGAATGCACGTGCTGGATCTGATGGTGCTTCTTGTGCCAACCTGGGGTGCGACCTTACAGTAAACTCCAAAAAAGTTGGAACATCCTTATCCACATACCTCAGAAAGTATATTAAGGGAATCCCAGCTTCATCCTTAAAGCCATGTTCCAACAATCTTGAGTTCACCGTAGGAGTTCTCAATCCACACAACTTGCGATGGATCAGAGACCGCCCCAGCGATGCCAGCGCAGCTTCTATGGGAGGTGTAACCCTCTTTTTTCGTGCCACCATGCGAAACGCCCTGGAGCCCTAGAGTTCAGGTACCAACCTCGGTTCATCAAAAAGAACCGCACGTCCGTGCAAGGGGGAGGAAATGAGCTACGTAGACCTACGTGGACGTATCCAGTGTGGATTCTTCGACGCGCAACTCAGCTTTGTTTTGCGGCCAGGAGGTCGACTCTGGAATCGAGCAGAACATGAGCAAGATGCTGACGCAGCCAGATTCTGCGTATCTAGGACACTGCTTCCTTGGCAGGTCCCATTGGCGCTTCTGAAGCGTGCAACAGACAACTGCACCAAGTTGATCGAAAGTGGCCTCCGATACATGTGATGCTATCGCTGAACATGCCCAATTTTTTGCAAGAACTTATTGGTTAAACTTCACTCCGCCGGTGCCTCCCGGCATGCTGGCACTATCCGACCGTTCGCCTGCCCTCTCAGCAAAGTGCACAGGAGGAACCTGCCTTGGATTTCTGCAAAGCTCAGCGACTTTGGCGACAAGTGTGAAGATCCTTTCACATCTTTTCATTGTGGTACAGTAGGTTTTTTCTTCAACTTCTCCTGTGATCCTCGACCCCTGAGAATCCCACGTCGTGGGACAATGCCTCCCCCACAGCAAGATGGACTTAACAAGGGGTTCTGATGAATGTTGCGGCTACATGTATCGGGAGCCTGTGTCACTGTATCCTACTCTTAATGCCATGTACGAAATGCGGTGGCCTTGAGGCAAAGGGGCAAGCAGGTGCACATGACTCAAATGACCACAACTTGCGCAGACCTTGCATGCAACACCATCTGATACGCCTTAAGTCGAGGCCCTGTACTGTGGTTTGAAACTCTGCTCGATCTCACTGAACCAAAAGCCACTCCGCCCAAGTACGAAAACCGCTCAGATTCTCTCAAATACGCTTTAAAGCCAAAATGCTGTGGCAGCCTCGGCATGTTTGTGCCAGGCTGAACCTTGGCGGCAAGCTGACCGCTTCACGCTTCGTATGTTCTGCATTAGGAGGGGGGGACCGTTCGTAACCTGCCTAGCAACGTTTAACTTCGCACCCTGCTCCAAGGGGAGGGGACATTAAGGACAGTTTGCTATAATCTTACGGTCTAAAAACTGGAGGTTCATGAACGTATCTTGCTCTCTGCCACCAGCGGTCCGAGGTGATCTCGCGCTTTCTGAACTTGGGCATCGCCACTACCTGGAGTCTCTGCCAAGTTTGAGGGTCCAAGCTTTCCAGGCTTTTTCGCCCCCTGGCCGGGGAGGCTCCGGATTCATGCGGGCAACCGAAGCAACATACTGAAGGGCATGAGGGCAGCTCCGTGGCCACTCCCTGTTTGGGGGCTTGTTTCGTAATGAAATTTGAAAGGAAGTTCCATAAAGCCAGACTCCACAAAATTCGGAGGTTGACAAGCCTGCAGCTTGAGGCGTGTTCTTTTTTTGGCTTCCTGCCCCCCCCCCCCCCCGTC